GAGAGAGAGAGAGAGAACGAGACGCGCGGGGAACGGAAAAGTAGAAGGAAAGGACGAGATAAATTCGCAGGTTTACGGCACCCTTAAAGTCGCGGGGATCTCTTTAACGACCTGGCAGACCGCCACCGCGGTGGCCCTCCTGGCGGGAGGGCTGAAATGCATCGACGCTCGCTCGCTCGCGAGTGCGCGCGCATACGCGAGCGTAGCAGAGTGAGAGAGAGAGAGAGAGAGAGAGAGAGAAAGCGTGCGAGCGATCCCCTTTCTTCTCCCCCCCGCTCTTTCTCTCTCTCTCTCTCTCTCGCTCTCGCTCTCTCGGGTTATCATTCATTCACTCTCGAGCGAGCCGCGAGGGCTCTGTTAATGACAGTCTCGTGAAATTACTGCGGAACTTCACGTCCCGCCGAGAAGGTGCGCGAGCGCGCGCCCGGTGAAGGCTGAAAAACGCGAGAGGAGGAGGGAAAGGTGAATCCGAGGCGCGATATTCCGCCGACGGGCGAAGATTATCTTCTTCCACTTCTCCTTTTCCTCCTTTCTCTCTCCTTCTTCTTGTTCAGGGGTGACTACGTCGTCGCCTTTTCGCTGCCCCTCTTTCTCTCTTCATCTCGTCGTTTCCCAGCGGCAATGCGCCTCGCGCCAGCTGCGTTCTCAACGTTCGAGCCTGCCGCCGCTTCAGACGCTCGGCATCCTTGAGGATGCTTTATTTTACCGTTACCGCCAGACCCAGCGGGTTCCGGTCTCGTTACGAGTCCGAGTGTCACTCGGCGGCGGTGAGTAACGCGGGATTTAAGTTTGCGTAAACTATAGTTGAGGAGCAGCAGCAGCAGCAGCAGCAGCAGCAGCAGGAGGAATAGAGAGAGAGAGAGAGAGAGAGAGAGAGAGAGAGAGGGGAGAGGAAGAGTCTGGCTTTTGGGAACGTACGATGGGTCTACGATAAGAGATTTGGAGAATCCAAGATGGAGCTCTCGGCGATGTCCTCTCCCTGTCCGCTCGGATTTCGCCCGGCGCTCCACACGACACTACCCCGATCGATTCGATTCTCTCCTTCTCCCGGTCCCCTTTTTTTCTTCTCCCGCCGCCGCTGTTTGTCCGCTGTGATGGCCCACTGGCGAATTGAGTCCTATCCTACGCGGACTCCGAAATGACGCCGTTATCATTAAGAACAGTCTTATCGGTCGTAGGGAGTGACCATTATCTCGGAACTGTTTCTGCGCCCGGAGATGGCGCTCTCCCTTCCTCGATATGACCTCGTTGGCCGGATCTTATGGAAAGTCCCGGTGGTTCCGCGGGAAGTAAAGATCTACAAATGCCCCGCGATATCACAACAATGAAACGTAATCGCGGTTAGGTCACCAGAAAATCGAATTGTATTTCCATCGCGATGGAATCGCGAGGAGGTTCTTCCGCGACTCGCCCCTTCTCCATCGCCGTCGCCATCGCCCACGGCGGCGGCTTCCGCGCGGCCGCGTGATAACGCCGGCGAGAAACGGAGTGAGAAAAATAAAGGCGAAAGCCGCATACCGAAAATTCATGCGCGACTGTGTTTAAGCGTTACGTCTCTGCGAGATAAGCGAGAGCATCACGTCGTCGGAAAATGACGACGCTTTCGCGCGCGGACAGTCGCCATGAGAATCCGCGAAACGTCGCGGCCGGCTCGTGCTTGAAACGCCACGCTACGCCACCGCGAAAAATCGCAGCTCGATACGAGACGAGAGCGTTTTGGCCGGAGAATCGCCGGGACTTCATAAATCCGCTGTAAATGGCTCGCGGGTTTACCTGTAAATATATAATGGCCACGACGCGGGATCTCCTCTGGTTGTCCTCCGCCGCCGAGCGTTCGGCCTATCGATCGGCGGAATTCTTTTTATTGCCGTTGTCCCTCGCTGCGATCCCCCCTTCGTCAGGCGAAAGAAGGTAAACATCGTAAAAAAAAATTTACCGAATGTTTGCTTAGGTCCCGCAAGGGGGCGGGCGGAATATCATCCGGGCTTGGCTGGAGGAAAAATTTCGGGAGTAATTCCGGAATCGTGTGTGTGCACGTTCATCCGTATCGACGCGACTCTCGGAGCTTTCGCGTCGGGTAATTAAGTTACGTTAATAAAAAACTCGCGCCCATCGTTTCGACGAAGACGAGACAATGGAAATGGTCGGTGATCGCTGTGATCGCTGCGCGAAGAGAGAGAGAGACAGCGCGGACGATTATGTGTATGTGTGTGTGTGTACGCGCGCGCAGGTTGGTTCTCGTACGATATAATTCCGCTGGCGAAATTCCACGACATGACGAAGAGGGTGGTGGTGGTGGTGGTAGTGGTGGTGGGTCGCGTAAATCCGCGGGCGAATGGCCTTTGGGCTCGTCGCGAGGAGCGTAATAGAGGATCCCGCAATTCGGATGCCCACCGCTCGGTCCGGCGGAAGAAAAACGTTAGTGCGCGACCATTGTGATCGACCGCGGACGCCGACGCGGACGTACACTTCCCCCGTCCCTGGCCGCCGTGAACTTGTAAATTATTACGCAGTTTCGGGATTTAACGGAGCCAATGGCGAAAGGACGCGCTTCGGCTCGTCTCCGCGAAAAGTCGTAAAGCCGCGCGCGGCTGTGTGCGCTTAACCGGAAAGCTCCCGGTTATTTTTCCCCGGCGATCCCTAGCTAGCACTGCCCACAGTACCTCTAAGCGGCATAGCGCGAGGGAGGGGGAGAGAGAGAGAGAGGAAGAGGCCGGTTCCCCGTTAGCCATGGGGGAAAACAAAGGAAATCAAAATATCTTCCGCGAAACAATTCACCTTCCCGGAATAATCTAGAGAGCTGCGAAAGGTCGACCCCGTTTCGCCGGGAACTTCCGCGACTCGTCGTCGCGCACACACAGTCTCGTAAATGCATTCGCTTCCTGTTTTACAGTGGGATGCGGGATCAATATTAATGTAAATGCACATTATACCGCGGAACGTGCAAGAAAGGCCGGCTAAGTCCGGCAAAAAAAGGTCCACCCACCGTCGAATCCGTAAACATCGACCCGAGCGGCAAAACGGGAAAATCTCGGCAACTCTATCGACGAATTATTTATGAGTCTATTTTAGTCGCGCGCATGAAAATTCATTTTAACTCGCAATAATCGTTAAGTATTGACTTGCATTTATCTCTCTTTCTCTCTCTCTCTCTCTCTCTATCTTGGGAATTGAATGGATCGAATTGAAAATTCAGTTTCGTGTTACGATCCGCGATATATTTCCATTTGCTTCTAATTGATTGATATTTGATTCCCGACGTTTATTCTCTCACTCCTGCTTCGTTAACGACACTCTGCTCGAGCACTTTTGTCTCCGCTTTACTTCAATTCACTCGTCCTCGTGCACTTTTAAAACTCCATTTTCCGTTTGTCACGGCGCTTTAAATATGCAGGCGCCAGCAGCTCGGTCGTTGCAAAATTAACGGAGGGAACTATCTCGGCGGTCGCGCTAAACGCGTTAATATAGTTCTATTTGCAGCGACGATTAACGTTGTTTTCCTCGAAGATCTTCTGACAGATTAGGTCGACGGGGATAGATCGTCCGTGTCTATATAGAGCCGTGCCCGCGCCGAGGTCAGGATTAGTAAAGTTCAGTCGATGCCGTGGCAAGCCCCGGGGAGGAGAAACGGTCCCTAAGCGAGTGATAAAATTCCTTTCCAAGTTATATTAACGCCGTTAGTCGTAGCCACGGTGCCCCCTGGACGAACTTTAATCGTGAATAATGAAGGAGCCCGGCGGCGATTATTTTTCTCGCAGAAGGGACCAGGGTGGCATTAGACGCAGCCCTCGAACTTGGGCGCGCAGCCATTTTTTGCACTTCCCGAAGAATCTTTGTCAGCCGGGAATGTAGACTTGACTTCTTGCTCGTCGTTTGATTCTAGACGTACTTACTGTAATTTACGACATTAAAGATAACGTCGGGAGGAGGCTCCTCCACCTCTCGTCTCTTCATTTTATGACGGAAGTTGTTCCGCTTGCGCCACGAAACCGTGATTCAATGCCACATACATCCTTTTAAAGTCCGAGTATTTAACGTTTATCCCCGACAATTCATGGAGCCATTTGCGCCGCGGAAACCAAGTTCGTCACCGAGCGCAAGAAAAGAAATCCGGAAACTAAATCGTAATCCGCGAAACTACCAAAACACATATTTATAAAAGTTTCCCATTCTCGCGTCGCCATTTTCCACCGATTTCGCTCCCGATTTTCTCGACTCCGGTGGCACGCAACATTTTACAAAAGCAACCGCGAGATGGCGCCGCGAATGAGAATCGACGATCCGCGTTTCCGATCGATTTCTCCAGGAACGAGACTAACTAAGCCCGGCCGAAGCCGGCGGAACTGGCCGCGTTGTTCCACGCGTGCTCGCGCACAAAGTCGGAGATTTGTCAAAGCCAACATTATTGGGCGATTACTCGCCTGCACGTGGAAGTGTTCGCGCGCGGAAAGCAGCCGACAGGCCGAGGAACAGGCCGAAGGGGCGACTTAGCCAAAATGGGGCGCTATAATCTCATTTGCGGGGTATAGTCGGTGCATAATTCCTCGCAGGGAGCAGCATAACTTTGTACTCTCTCCAAGGAACTGTAGCAAACTGGCACAGCCTACGGGGGAGGGTGCCGCAACTTCGCAAACTCGCGAGTAGTTGCGTTGACGGCGATGCACTTCCCATCCCATATGGGATGCTCGGCTGCTGCGGATAATTTCCGAGGCGTCTGCGGAGCCCGCGATCGCCCCGTATGTGCTTGTTTTGCTCATCGTTGATGGACGGGTCGAGCGCGTTTGGGCTCGCGCGTCCCGCGGAATTCCGAATAGCCGAGCGCGGTTGGAGGTGTATTCGTTTGCTTGCCCTAACCTGATAACAATATCATACCTTCATCACTCTCTCTCTCTCTCTCTCTCTCTCTCTCTCTCTCTCTCTCTCTCTCTCTCTCTCTCTCGAGCAATCGTTCTCTCGTAGCAGAAGAGCCCTAACAAACCCTCGCTTGTCTTCTCTTGCAGACATGCTACGAGATGGAGAGGTACCTGAAGGACGAGCCGAAGCTGCAGTCGTACAAAAAACTCCCCACGGAACTGGACACAACGCCCTGGAACCTCTTCAGGGCGCCGCCGATTTCGTGGACGGCTTCCACCGGCACGAGCGCACAATTCGATGCCCCAATCAAAATGGAGGTGTGTAAGCGAACGCGACTTTATATTCGTAATTCTGTCGTTGATATCGACATCCGATTCCGGGGAAAAGCCTCTCGCGCGTTACTTTCGACACTTTCGTTCCGTTATCGGTGGCTCGACGATCTCTAAGATGATCGCTGAGAGAGTTAAAGTTCAACGCTGAAGGCTTGCGAGCTTTGCTAAAACTCGAGACGCGTCTCGTTTTCTGCGAATCAGGTGACGACGTCGTCGGACGAAAGAGACCCCCTCTGTCTGGACGACATCAAGTTTAGCCCCGGCGATCATAATGATAATGGCCGCGACAGGGATCTCCTGGACCGTCACCTCGATTCCTTGTCGATGTCATCGTCGAGTTCGGCGTGTTCCGCGCTGTCTTGGGACAGCTCACCCTCCCTCTCGTGCACAGCGCTCATTCTCAAAAAAGAGCCCAGCGAAGATCTGGAAGAGGATGAGGAACACGAGGTAAGTCGCGCAGCGCGGCTTTCACGGCCTTTCGCCGGTCCATTTAGTACGTTTCTCTCGTTTAAACTGCCGTTTCTCAATTCCGAAACGTTATTTTTATTCCGTGACTCTTGCCAAGTAACAGCTTAACAGAGGACAAGGACAAATCCCGTTCTGGATTCGCGCGAATTAATTTCCCAGTTCCACGATCGCGCGATCTCATGTGGGGGGAGGGGGGGTCCCGCGTCAACTCGTGGAGCAAGATAGACTTTCTCAAATTCCGCTGCGAAAGCTGACCCCGCGGAGGCCCGAGCGATCTTCGCGCGCTTCGATATTTTATCGTTCGGTTTACGAGCCGACGCGACGGGCGTTTCGGCTGGCGTTCGGCTGACGTAACGAGACTCCTCCTTCGCGTAACGAGTTCGCAAGGTCTCGCGTGATCACCGGTTTATTCGCCCGGCCGGCCGGCCGGCCGGCGCGCAAATATTCCAAACGGCATCGATCCCGTTGCATATCCCGGTAATCTGCGTTGCGTAATGCGTGCGATTTTGCCGCTGCAGGAGATCGAGGAAGAGGAGGACAGCGGGTGCGAAAGCGAAGGTCAGATCCTGACGCCACCGCCGAGTCCTGGGTCGGGTCAAGGTCATTCCAACTCCAGTCACTCGTCGAGTGGGAGTTCGATGCTCGACGTGCACAACCTCAACCTTCACGGCACGGGCGGCAGGAGCGCCATCGTCAGGGTTACCACCAGCAGTGCGCAGGGTGTCGCAAGGTAGAGTGTCATAAAACTAAGCGTGCATGTCCTTCTCAACGTTCGTCGGCGAAGAAGACGGAGCGGAGGTGTTTCGGGTCGCGAACGCTCCGTCATTACCGTTCATCGTCTTCGGATGGTAGAGTCTCAGCTGCCTTTAGAATCGAGAGCAGCCGATGCTTAGTAGCCGGCTAAGCATGACGAATGTACCGTAATTTCCGTCTCACTGGGAAATGATCTCTCGATTAGCCGTAGCCGCAGTTCTCCGGCATCGCCGAGTGACGGCACCGGGGCGATTTTCCGCTGGAAATTCTCGGGGGAGAAACGACCCGAGTAGGATGGCGAGGAATCAGAAAAACGCCGCCGGGACACGGTCGCAGCAGGTAGCTGCTACCGAACGTTCTCCTCGTAGGATTCCGCGCAGCGCCGAGTAATGAGGCCTGAAACAATTCGCTCCTGCGATCCGTCATTAACCCGGGTCGAGCGATGCCGGAAACGCGCTCCTCGCGATTCCCGCCGGCGCGGCGCGGCGTTTCTTTCGAAAGCGCAGGGCACGGCGCGCCGATTACTCGCCAGTTACCCCGGCCGATCACGCTACTTGTTAAACTCGCAAAGCGAGCTAGGCGAAGCGTCGCGCACGCACGCACGCACGCACGCGCACGTCGCGCCTCCAACTAATTACAAGCAACGAGACTAACGCGGCCAATAAGAGCCGGGCGAGACCCTGTTGGACTTTTTACCTCTCTCTTTCCCGCAGACTGATCTCCGTCACGGCAAACGGCTTCCCTGCGGTCGCCGGCACGCAACACGCGCACGCGGGTGCGACCGCGGCCGCGACCACCGTGGCCAACAGGCACCACGCGAGGAGCAACGAGCACAGTCCGCCCGACACGAAGCGCAGGCTACACAAATGCCAGTTCCCCGGCTGCAAGAAGGAGTATACCAAGAGCTCGCACCTCAAGGCCCATCAAAGGACGCACACGGGTGAGTGAGAGCGCCGAGACGCGCTACTTTCTCTATCGCGCGCGCGCGCGACGACGACGACGACGACGACGACGACGACGATGACGACTCGGGGAGGAAGCGGACCGATCAATTAGCGAGTCTCGAGATCGACGACATTGGCATGCGCGGATAATCCGCGACAGTTGGTCGCGGTCGGGACAGAAGCGACGTGAAGCACGGAGCGATCGGGTCGCGAACTCCAGCGTCTTACACGTGAAGAGAATTTGGGCACGGATGTGCAAATTTTTCCAACAGCCGCTACGGCAACAACGGTGTATAATTAATGACGGGCTTGAATTAAGGGTGTTTCGTTATTCGCGTCGACGCGCGTTCGCCAGGTAGAAAGACGGAGCGGGCGAATGCAGCGCGCGAGCTCGCAAGCCGGCCCATTTGTCTACGACGGAATCAGAGCGTCCCCGAGCCGGCGCTCCTCTAATTGGCCATTGTCGTCTACGGGCATTTCGCATCGATGCGAACTCTTCGAGATGCGCGACGTGCAAATTGAAACTCATTTTGCTCCGATATGATGCAGTGTTCTCTCGCACGTTTATGCAGACAACATATTTTTTGTCCGGCTTTCCTCTTGGAAAGCGGCGCTTCGGGATTTGGTGTGTCACTCGAAAGTATCAGAGAAAAGTTCATCAGAGATCAAAGTAAAAAAACTTGTCGATGCTCTTAACGCCAGTTATCAGCCAGTTATTCAACCGGGGGAATTTGCATGTAATACCTGAAATTCTCCCCGTTGAGTAGATCGTTCATCTCGTCAATCGCTGCCTCGAGCTCTGCCTGCGCTCGCTGCATTACCTTGATACCCGATAACTTTAATGATACGCGAGACGGGAAAAACCGTCCTCGGCCACTCGCTACATCTCTCTCTTTCTCTCCCCCCCCCTCTCTCTCTCTCTCTCTCTTTCTCTTGCGTTTTCGATGAGAAAAGCCAAGTTTTCCAATCCCCACCACGTCATTCGCCGTCCGCCGTGGAAGAAGAGGCGATGCCCGCTTTCCGTGATCCACGTTGACGAGGCACGTTACTGTCCGAACGCGATATTACCATGGAGAGCCTCGCACCCTCCTCCTCGGGATCCTCCTCTTCGTGGCCGCTTGCGGTAAGCGATGGCAGCAGAGGAACTGTAATTAACGAACTCTCCTGTTCTCCCTGTCTCTCTCGCCTTCTCCCTTCTTCCAACGCGACTGCGCAAGCCGTCCATCCTTCCCCTCCCCTTGCTTCTTTATCCACAGTTTTTGTCGCGTCACACTCAGGCCCTACGGTTTCGCCGGTCGTACGTACGTACCTTGCGGTACGTGTCCTCGCGCTTCTACGTGTGTGTATAGACCGGGTCTCCACGTAGCGGAGATAACAAAGAGAGAGAGAGAGAGAGAGAGAGGAGAGGGAACGGTGAACGAGGGAGGTAATAAGGGACGGGTTGGCCGGGACGCCTCCATCCTGTAGCGTGGCAGGTACGTCGGGATTGCTTCTCGCGGATCGTTAAGCAGAACTGCTAACTACGGGATTATGCATACTGCGGGACCCGTCCCGCAATTATGACTCTGTTATGAATTCGTCCTGACACAAGGATCCCCCTGTCGGCGGAACGGCGGCTGCGCCAGACGACGGTCGCGACACGTACGCCGTGCCCGCGCTCGTCGTGGAGACGTTTATCTCGAGACATTTGCGCGAAAAAGCTGCAAAAGCGCGCTGTGCCTTTCAGCATTGGCTCCCTTCACACCTTCCCGCCGCATCGACGTGTCCTCGTCGTCGCACGTGCGCACGACGTCGTCGCGCGGCTGAGTGTCGAACGAACGCCTTCGCCTCGCAGCCGAGCTGTTTCCTTATATCGCACGGATAGTCTTCACGCATCCTCGAAATTGTCATTTCTCCTCTCTCTCTCTCTCTCTCTCTCTCTCTCTCTCTCTCTCTCACTCTGTTTCTCTCTCTTCGTTATTCGTTCGTATATGCCTCGCGCGAATGACGCGAGGAACAATGACTGCTAGAAGGAAGTGTTGATTTTCCCAAGTACACGGCTGTATTTTATGTACACCGGTGATTATTTTTCGTCAGACAGCGCAACGTTTACATGAATATTTTATATGAATATTATTCTAATTGTGTGAATATCTTGGAAATGGTGGTTTGAAGTGTAAATCTCTCGGGCTTCTCTCGTCTTCGTTCTTTGACGATGGCTTTTTCGCACAGCACCTGTCCCAGGTACCTTGTTGAGTCTCTTTTGCCCGACGAATATACGAAAACGAAAGAGGAGGAAATATATTCGTTCGTTTTGTGTCGTTCTGCGTCTCGCGAAACACCGCGAAAGAAACAATTACGGAAACACTTTCGAAGCGCTTATCGATTAGATCCATTCGCCGCGCGGCGAGGCAACCGACCTCCGCCGCGATCCCGTCGTCGAAAAAGTTCAGCAACGCGTTCTCTTTCGGCCCCCCCCCTCCCTCTTACTTATATTCTCTCTCTCTCCCTCTCTCTCTCTCTCTCTCTCTGTCTCTCTCTTCCTCTCTGAGAATCCATCGGGAGAAAAACGACCGCGCGGCGGAAAACTTCGGGAAGCGAAGTTCCTCGCGGGAATGGAAATGGCGGTAGACTTTGATCTCACTCGACGGAATCTAATTACTACGCGGATGGGACCTAACGGTAGCGGGACACGAAACGAAGCGAGTCGTCGATCGCGAGTCAACGGTGAGCGCTGGTGAAGGTTCGTTACGAATTCCATCGGCGAAGTTTCCCTTCGGCCGACCCCTCTCGATATGTACATATTCTGCGTCGAAGGAACTGGAAGAGATCGCTATTTCTCCTTGGCACGATCTTGCGTCTTCGACGTCAACGACGACAACGACAACGACGACGACGACGACGACGACGACGACGACGACGACGACGACGACGACGACTACACGTAGGGCCCGTGGCGTCCGTGTTTGTCTCGAATCACATTGTTCTCCAAGATGTCTGGCTTAGCGGACCCCTGAATCCGCGATGTGATCCGATTAGACGATTTAATTAGTAAAGAGCCGCGCGCACCATCCGTGCGCTCTCTAATTCCCTCTTAACGAACCGATCATACGTTACCGCCGAATGGCAAGCTCCTCCGTCTGTCCCTCGACAGATCAGAGATTGATCCTTCGCTTTTCCGAGCCGTTCGGAACGAGCGAGTCGAGCTCTCCGAGGGAAATCTGCTCAACGTCGTAGCTCAGACGCCTCTGACAGAATCTCGCGGCGTTCCGCCGCCTTGCGCGATTACAAGAGGCGGCTTCTCGCCGGTTGAGATCGCGTCGCTTGAAAATTCGCGAGTTAATTAAAACGTTCGCCAGAATTTTCCTCTCCTGCAAACATTCGCGCGACAACGTTCGCTCCCCCCCCCCCTCTCTCTCTCTCTCTCTCTCTCTTTCTCTCTCTCTCTCTCGCTCTCGTTCTCTTTCGCTGGAAAACCGCGGTTTTTCACCGTCACTCGCAGCGTAGTCACATTTACGTGGAATTTGTGTAGTGCGCGATGGAAAGAAAGCCCCGTAATCATGTTAATTTATAAATCGTAAAGAGGAAACGACGAGAGGAGATCCGGGCATGGGAATGATAATGCCGAAGGAAAACTTCGCGGATAAACTCTTTGTCGTGTTTCCCCCGCCGTGTCTTCGTCCGCAAGAATAAAAAGCGGACTAATTCTTCCTTTTCATCGTACTTATCCTTCTCGTGTATTAGGTTCGTGTCTGAGCGCGCGGATCTTTTCTCGACTATGGGAGAGAGAGAGAGTCTCTCTCTCTCTCTCTCTCTCTCTCTCTCTCGAGCAGGGTTCGCGTATCCGATTTTCCCACGGGTGTCAAGGAACTATCGATCGCCGTCCTTGCAGCCTCACATTGGCTGTGTGTATAACGGCGAGAGAAAAGGGGATAGAAGGGTAGGAAGAGAGAGATTTCCAATTACAGGGACTTTCCGTTCTAGAATTCCATTCCGAACGTCATTGTTCTCGCGTCGCGCGCCGCGGACAGGACTTTGATCCTTCGGCGATGCGAGTCCGATCGCCTGTCTCTCCTCTCTCTCTCTCTCTCTCTCTCCCCGTCCCTCCCTCGCGAGACACTTAACAGTCCTTCACTTCGTTCCGGTAAGTGGATCGTCGACGCATGTACGAAAGAAAGAAAGAGTGATTTCACCCTTTCTTCGCGAGCGACATTGCGATTGCGTGTCGGGTAGCGGGAAATGAAATATTAGCGTCCCTCTGGTTTACAGAGATTAGGGGAAGCATTTATTCCTCTTTTCAGCAATATAGACTCGATAAAACAATATATATATATATATATATATACATACATACACGTGGGGAAGATGAAAACAAACGTATGAAAAGGTAAGAGAACGCGAAATCTCGACGCGGAGGCTAAAGAATTCCGTAATTTATCGACTGCGGGATGCGGGAATCGAAGGGAAATGAGGAGGTTTCGAAAGACTGAGCGATGAGGGTGAAAATGAAATGAATACAGAATTCGTGCGATTAAGGGCACTCGAACGAGTCGCATAATTTTTATGGAAATGACTTTCGAGGAGGGAACCGCGTTCTCTCTCTCTCTCTCTCTTGTCGCGTTACCAATACAGTATCTTCTGGCGAGATATTCTCGATTCTTTTAGCATCCAAGACGGGGAAATAAACGACCCGGCGGGGGGATAAGGATACTTACGCATCTCACGGACGTAAATTTTTAAGCGATTGAAAAGTTTGCCTCTAACGGGGGGATACGAGGGGGGGGGAGGGCAGAATTGCGACTGAGGAAAGAGAAAGAGAGAGAAAATGAGTGTGTGTGTGTGAGAGAGAGAGAGAGGGGGGGGGGAGTGAGGTGGGGGAAGCCAACCGAGATTACATACAAAGACCGAAGTAGGTCAGCCAAAGTATAATAATTTAGCATGAGAGCGCTTTAGAAACGTACAGCTTTGCGCGATCTTAAATCAAACGAAGAATGGAAGGAGCGGCGGCGCGGCTCCG